GTGGAAAAATAGGGGCCGAGCCTGGGCCTGATTCTTGAGAAAACACCAGAGGTGATAAGCATACCGCGCTCAAACAAGAGAGTTGAAGTGAACATGGGCGGTGGAAATGGCTTGTTAACCACAAACTTGGGAGTGATATGGAAGCTACTAAGACCCTCCTGGTGTCCACATCCCCATGCGAGTCTAATCGAGGAAACCACCGAGCGAGTGAGGTTAGCACCAACGGAAGATGAAGATCTGGCGAAGTTGAGTGTGCTACATAAGCTAATCACGCCCCAGATGCAAGAGCCAAGCGAAAGGACGAGCGACCCAGGGTCAGCAAAGAAATTGGAGCCGGGTAGCTGTCTGGATTCGACGTGTGGGAACGGAGAGCACATCTGCGATGGACGGTCATGCGTCAGAATACTGTCGTTTCAAAAAGAAGACCTGGTCACTTGGTTCGAAGACATCACAGAAAGGGAGAAAAGTGAAGTGCAAATAGTAGCGGAATGTTACGCGAGAACCACAGTGAATATAGCGACAGCTCTCGGATTCTTCTCGAGAATGTGTGGTCTGCAGGCACTGGAGAGACTGGAATCTGAACATCATTTGGTGACGGCGTTGAGCGTGGAATCATGGCCCGGGGTGTTGCAGGTGACTCAAAAACACATCCGGAGCTGGATGGTTGGTCTTGAGGCGGAAATGGGATTTCCCATGAGCGAAGCTTATGGCCTGCCATTGAACGCGAAATCGCTGATAGGGTCAATGATGGCCAACTTGTGCGGAAGCCACTACCCGCTACACATGGCGATGGTGGAAGTGTCCAGCCAGAGAATACTGGTGGACAAGGCCTTCTCAGTGCCCAAGTGCGTGAGGTTGGCTCGGATATCGCATCACTCGCACAAGTTGTTGAGAAAAATCAAAGGGACAGTACCAAAAGAATTGAGAGATGACTTGAGTGAAATCTGGGGAGAAGATCTTCTGAAGTTGGAAAGAGAAAACACAAGCGATCACGAGAGACAAAACGTGATCGGAAAACCTGTGGGAAGTACTCCGAACCTGGAAGATAATGACACGATGCACGAGAAAATGATGGAGCTTGAGCCTCTCTTGGAAGCCTCAGGGGAGCGTAATCTCAGGAGCATTGAGATCTCTCATGGGGAATGCCCATGCCACTGTTTGGCACAAACTGTGTGGTATCCAGATCACAAGAACCTTTGCCTGGTGTGGGATGTGGAAGAGATTCGGTCGATCGGACTACCGGATCACCGACAGAAGGTGACGCTCTTAGTAGTGAGTACGATGTTAGCTCTGAGATGGATAGAAGAGAATATAACGAAGTATCGGGAGGCGACGACGCCAACGGCTGAGTCAATATACGCGATAGACTACAGCAGGAGACTCGAGTTGTTTGAGACTGCGTGCAAAGTATTCGCCATACCGACGGAAGTCAGGCACGTATGGAGTCGCTTGAGGTACTTTCCATGGTTTCGAGCGACACTGACGTCTTGGTTGTACATGGCCACGAAAAATCACATGAGGAAACATCAAAAAGAGTATCGACAGTTCCAGGCCGAGATTGGGCCGGAAGCTTTCAAGAGACCCCTGCTAACCCATCGTAACGCGATCACGACAGGATGGAAAAGAGTGGGTAAGATGTCTAGAGACAATACCAAAGCGAGGGAGTCGATACTAGAGGAGGATCTGGCGAAGAGCGTGAGCTTGAGCCTGCACAACTCCTTTTGCTTGAACCGAGAGGCTAGGGTGAAGGCACTACCCAACCAGGCGAAGAGGTTGCAGGAGCAAAGAGAATGGATGCGATCCTATGAACAGCTGAAGGCTTGGGAGGAGATTGTGATTAGCTCTGATGATGAAGAGGAACTGTTGAGACAGTTTGCCGCATCTAGCACTTCAGGGTGCAGTACCTCCAAGGCGAAGAGTACGAGATGAATGGGCAAATCGGATGGATCTTGAGTCTTGAGAGGGGAGGGGGGGCTTGAGCGTGAATCCGAGTGAAACTTGGATTCACGAAAAAGAAATTTTAACAAAGCAAATATTGTTACTAATATACTATATTTATTATATAAATCGAAATGCTGCATGACAATTTCCTGATTGAATAGGACAAAAGAGATTTTAAAATGATTGGCTTGAAAAGCGAAAATTCAAGGGTGCAGGTGTGTGCAGATTTTGATTGCTGTTTAGCAATAGTGTGAAAATTTTACATGGCTGTGAATTTTGGGGTGTAGATAAGCTTAAGTCTGCTGCAAACTTCTGTAAATGACCACTGGCACTGTATCTTGAGCAACACTCGGTTTTCTGGGACTCACTGGCAGAAGACAGCACGCAATGAGGACATCGATCTCGAGTCCGGGGAGTATGTGCCAGTCGGTCATATTTGGAAGTTTGACCTTGAGAAGAGCAAAAAGCACTTGATTTTGGAGTGAAATTTAATTTTTCAAAATTTCGAATGGAACCTGTCATGCACGATTTTCTCGCGAGAACTGAAAATCAGAAAAAGAAGTCAGAACAATTTCAGAACAATTGCGGGAAAGTTGTCAGATAAAAATGAGTGGGAAATTGCTATTCGCAATTTCCATCATAGTGAACAAGAGTAGAGCTGTCCTATCTGAAATAGAAGACAGAGTATTCCCGAGAGAACAATTATTTGAACTGGACCAGAGTGAACCTTCGACGGAAAGGTGGACAGCTTGAGTGTCCCAATGGTCCACATAAAACTTCATTCTAGAGTTCAAACTTACCTTTGCCATTCAAACTGATAAACATTGAACTTATCTAGTTATCTTAGTTAATTCTAGAGTTGCTCACCCATTTAATTACTTCCTGTGCTTGAGCGCGTCAACATGTGAGTCCTTAATTTAAATTTCTAGAGTGTGTTTTATGATTGTTATGTTGAGGTAAGGCGAGTTTTAGGTTGATCCATCTGAAATGGATCAAAGTTCCACTGTCTAATAAAAAGTAACTTAACGGATTGTTCCGACCCGGTTTTTAACGGCGTTCATGTATTTTGGGTATTTTGAGACCTAAGTATGGGGACGTTCTTAATTCTAGAGTGGGGGGATATTTTGGTAGTAGCCTTAAGCAGTAGCGGGTCGTAGTCTCATGTCACAAGCGAACCGAATTGGCTCCGACTGATTTGAGGTGGAAAAACACAAGAGATAGTGTCCCTGACTCCTGAGCCAATAGTTATAGGGCCTATTTTTCTTAAGCCTCATGTGTGACTGTAGTAGACGAATGTTACATAGTGTTTTTATGGCGCTCCTGGGTGTTTACGACATCAAGACTACGGAGTCAAACCCACTTGAGACAGCTTCGGGCTGAATGCCCATTCTAGAGTACCGGCGGTACGGTTCGACAGGAACGTGCAAACCTTCCGGTTGTACCGTGATAGCTTTTTAAGAAAACTCGAGAAAATTTCCTGGTACGCTCTCCGAACGAGGCTTAGCTAACCGAGTAAAGGGGTGCAACTAGGGGGACAAAAACACGAGCAAAAAGACAAAAAGCAAAACAAAAAAAAACAAAAAAAAGAATAGAAAAAGGAACAAAAACCATAAAACGAAAAAAGACAGTGACTTTGACACCAGATCAGTTGGATCAAACCTTTATATTAATTAAATAGTATACCCATACTGTTTTATAAGTTCGATCGTTTCGATCAACCTAGCAATTTAACCCAGTAACAGTAATAAAGTGCCCGAGTGTGGGGCGTTGTCAAGGGTTTTCAGATAGCTTGGAACTTAGCTGGACAACAAGGAAACTTGACTGGAAGAGGTGACCAGCCGAGTGGGAAGGTTGTTCAGGAACACCTGAGCTGATCCAATAGGAGACTCGACTGGAAGAGGTGACCGGCCGAGTGGGAAACTGGTTTAGGAACACTTGAGCTGAACCAATTGGAGACTGGACTGGAACAGGTGATCAGTCGAGTGGGAAAGCAGCCAAGAAGGATTTGACAATTCTCGAGTTCTCAAGTTGGGCAGAACGGGTATTGTTAGAATCCACATTACATTATAGGAGATAAGTGTAAAATTGGATAAGCGAAATCCCCCAGTTTTGAGGAACGTTTTTACTTGAGGAGGCCTGGAAACAGGTCTACGGTTTTCTCTTGAGAGGTTTAGCACCCGGCGCTAAAGGTAATTTTTAGGCTTAAGAAGGGGGGCTAGAAAGGGGGGAGGTTGAAACCTTGAACTTATCTAGTTATCTTAGTTAATTCTAGAGTTGCTCACCCATTTAATTACTTCCTGTGCTTGAGCGCGTCAACATGTGAGTCCTTAATTTAAATTTCTAGAGTGTGTTTTATGATTGTTATGTTGAGGTAAGGCGAGTTTTAGGTTGATCCATCTGAAATGGATCGAAGTTCCACTGTCTAATAAAAAGTAACTTAACGGATTGTTCCGACCCGGTTTTTAACGGCGTTCATGTATTTTGGGTATTTTGAGACCTAAGTATGGGGACGTTCTTAATTCTAGAGTGGGGGGATATTTTGGTAGTAGCCTTAAGCAGTAGCGGGTCGTAGTCTCATGTCACAAGCGAACCGAATTGGCTCCGACTGATTTGAGGTGGAAAAACACAAGAGATAGTGTCCCTGACTCCTGAGCCAATAGTTATAGGGCCTATTTTTCTTAAGCCTCATGTGTGACTGTAGTAGACGAATGTTACAGCACGAAAATGTGCGAAAACGTTTGTTTGAATTTACAATATTAACTCATTCTCGAAAATATTTTTGTTGGGCAATCAACGTAACCCGTATCGATTCTAATTGTAAGGACATCAACACTTGTCATCTTCTTTCATCATAATCACTTCCATATCTAGATAATTCCAGGGATTTTGAATGTAATACGTGATGAAGGGACTCCTGACATTAACCTCGGTTACTATGATACTTTTGACCTTCTGATTACCTTTTTATTAAAAAATAATAATAATCATATTGTTTTCCTGTTAAATCAGTGTTTAGAATTTATCAAAACCATGAGTTTTTTCTACTGTTATATGTTTTTAGGACTATAATGTTTTAAATTGAGACATGACAATAAACGTTAGTGTGAGCATGCTCTCGTGCTTCTGTGAGAATCACTGCCCCGACAACAAACCAAATGGAACCTGTTATACTGTTGGGGACGGTAGATGCTTTGCTCAAATCGAAGAACTGACCCCGAATGGTGGAGAAACAAAAATTACTCGGGGTTGCACACCTCCAGAAACAGGCAGTGTATTTCAATGCAAAGCTAAGAAACACTATTTTCGAAAGGAAATTCAGTGTTGCGATACAACTATGTGTAACATAAATCTTCATCCTCAATTGCCCCCGAGAGAAATTTTCGAAACCTCAGAAAATTCATTTACACCTGGAGGTGTGTTCTACCTTACTGCAATCATCTGCACAGTCCTCCTGTCTTTCACAATTATAGTTGCTGCAATCATAACTTTCTATTTATCATGGAGACGCAAAAATGCAGCGAAGCAGGTTTGTCTTCCTCAATTGAGAGTATATTTAACAATAAAAAAATGATCGATTGCGATTCATGTTGATTAATCGATTTTAGGTGTCTCTTTTGGGCGGGCTAGGCTCAAATAAAAAACCCACAGACTCAAATTTGTACAAACATCCAATTGCCTCAATTGCGCTAGACCGCAATCCCGCCTTATACACATTAGGAAATAACTCAACAACCAGACCTGAAGGTGCTCCAGGAATATCCACATTGCAAGCTCTGACTGACTCTTCGGGCAGCGGAAAAGGAATGCCTTTGCTTGTGCAGATGACGATATCAAGACAGTTCAACTTGGTCAAACAGATCGGAGAGGTAATTGTATTCAGTAGAAAAGAAGGGTTCAAATATATATTGTTGTAGATTATGAAATCAAGATTTCACGCAACTTCGCAATCCGCGCTTGACTGAATTCCGAAAGCGGCGCAGTTTCAAGCTGAATATTTTAAAAGAACCCGAATAAATAATTTAATTGAGTGCTTTTGTATCATTACTATAAATCATTACTACAGTTGCCTGCTTGTCTTTCTTCAATCGCGTTCTGATGGACTGAAAAACCGAAACCCAGCGCCATTTCAACGCTACGATTTAATTTAAAGCTCAATGCATTAGACAATTAACTCACCACTGTTTTTTGTTTTTGTTGATAGATTTCTTCTGGCAGTGAATGTTGAATGAATTGTTCTAGGGCGGCTTCGGATCTGTGTGGAAAGCAACTTGGTATGGCGACCCGATTGCGGTGAAGATATTCTCGACCAGAGAAGAGGAGAGTTGGAAGCGGGAAAAGGAGATCTACCAGACAAATCTACTCCGACATGACAATATATTGGGTAACCACCTCGGCTTCTGTTGTATTCTCTTTTGTAACTGGAAAGTTTTAATCGACTTAGAAACTTCTAGTAAAGCAGTTTTCCTATGGCCCAAAATTTTTTGTAAACAAATATTTTTACTGCCCAACAGGCGTCTACCCAAGGACTTTCTGCTTTGTTGCCGTATTGTTAAACTTCATTCGAGACAAACTTATAAAAATTGTGGTACATTTAATTTGTCAAGAGTCGATGAAAGTAATTCAGACTCTTATATACGTCGCGATGATATTTTTTCAGGAAAAATCTTAAAATTAGTGCAGGCTGAAATATAGTTTTTCGCGGTTTGACTTGATTTCTTTTCAAGTTCAGTTCATTTCCTTTATTAAAAAGAAGGCAAAACGAGATCGACTTCTAGTTTCGAAAGTGGAAAAAAATTTTCAGACTTCGCAGAGAAATAAAAATTTGACTTATTGATCCAGTTTTCTCACATTGGGTTAATCTTATCAAAAAAGTGCCAGTCATAAATTTTTCCAGAAATTCTAAGAGCCTTAAGGATATCTATATTTCTCTTCGAAAATCGAAAGCTCAGATTTTCCAAAAAAGAAAGTTAGTATGTTTTTGTTTGCTTGATTGCATTAATTCTTTTCCAATTGAGTAAGTTCTAGATTTTTTCGTTTTCTGAACTTTTCAACTTGAAGGCTCGCGTCTCATTTTCTGTCGACTAACCTGCCATGCTATGTTTATGATGCATTGCAAGTAGGGCAAAGCTCCGCTTCACCTTTTAAAAAAAAAAACTGTTTCCGAAATTAGACAAAACTATTTAGGCTTCATCGCGGCGGACATCGGAGGCACAGGATGTTCTACACAGATGCTGCTCATCATGGAATACCACGAGTATGGATCCCTGTACGACTTCCTCCAGAATCGAACCCTGGACGTCTCGCTTATGCTGCGCCTAATGTACTCTATTCTTGCCGGAGTGAACCATCTCCATAATGAAATCGTAGGCTCAGAAGGTAAACTTATTCATGATTTTATATTAAAGATCACGTTTTTTTTTCCTGACCAATTTTTGAAGGTATGCAAATAAAAGCAATAATTGATGGTTCTTTTTACGGTGTAGGCAAAGAGCAAGGAGACAACAGGAGGTCGCAGAGGAAGCCGCCAATTGCCCATCGTGACCTGAAGAGCAAGAATATTCTGGTGAAGAACAATCTGACCTGCTGCATTGCAGATTTAGGACATTGTGCGAGGTGAGTACTTGTTTAATGAGAGTTTAGCTATAACTACCATGAAGTTGGCGAGGGCAAGCAGTTAGGCGCGGTTGATTTCTTGAGGCCACGTAATCCCTGCTTTGTGGACTCCAAACCGTCCAAATGGTCAAAAAAATTCCGTGCATGTCACTGTTTGATGAAAATGGTCGAAATTTGGAGTCAGATACATACATTGTCTCAACGTAATCAGTTGGTTTCTATGTTACACATGCGCAGCATAGTGTGATAGTACGATACAACTTTTTTCCACCTCGAGTCGAAAAAGTTCGTTAAAAGGAGTCTTTTTCCTTCCCTGCTGCCTCATAATTAAAATGGTTCATATTTGGAGCCAGATACATACATTGTCTCAATGTAATCAGTTGGCTTGTTTGTTACATGAGTGCAGCGTAGTGTGATAGTACGAAACAAATTCTGTTCAACCATAAGTCAAAAGTAAAAGTGTTCGTTAAAAGGACTCTTTTTCCTTCCCTCCAGCTGCGAATTTTTACAATTTTCGGTTCACATTGTCTAAATTTTGAAAAAAAATTAGCATGCGGTTTTATTAGGCCATGGCAAACATTTGATTTTCATACTCAACATTGTTAAACCCTCGTTACACCATCAATTTGATGCTTTTGTGAGGTGGGGAGAGGAAAGATTCATTAAAAGTGTTCGCTTTTTTGGTAGCACGTTTGCTATAATTACGATCTCTAGCGTTGGAAGTTTTTAGCGTCTGTTTTTCTCGTTAGTCAAGCGTCCGTGGCTCGGAGGGAAGGACGTGAGATTACTAATCTATTTGTCGGAGGTTCAACGCCGCATTTAGCTTAAGTTTTTTTTTGCACTATAGGCAATAAGCTAATTGGTTTTAATTATTCTATGCATGACTCAGAATTTAACACTTAAATTTTGATATTATCTGCCTAAAATTTATAGTTTTGTAAATATTTAATTTATCAAAAACTATTTGAGACCAATTAAAGGGCAGTCGGAACATTTAGTGCTTTGCCCTGATACGATCAGTCTTAATAGCATCTATAGCTGCATCATTGGTGGCTAGTGTTAGATATATTCAATGGCTCGTGGCGCATAATGTGAGAACGCGAGTCTCCAAATCGTTAGCTCGGAGGTTCTTATCCGTTACAGCAAAACTTCAACCAATTGGAGGTGTCTTTGTAATTTTTATTATTTCAATTTTTAGAGCGGCTTTTTGTTGTTTTCTCGCTTGTGTTTGCCAAGCTCAGCTTAGCCTCTGTGTAAAAATATATTCCTACGAAGCTTTGCTCGTATTATGAAACAAAGTGCGTTTTATTGATGTCTAGCAATTATCGATTTTGTTTATTATTTTGACATCATTAATTTCTTGTTGGTACTTTCTAATTGATTCAAAATTATGATTTTGATTGACTTTGAAAACAGATAGATTACTTTTGGATTGAATTAAGACTTCGATGTTAAGGCTTTTAATGTTAATTAGATAGATAACCGCTGATTTGAGTTAAGATTTTTGATTTCATTTTGAGTTTGAAACAGATAAAAATTGTTGATTTTGAATTCAGACTTTCAATATCGCTGTGACCAATAATCTGATTAATCTCGTTTTGATTTTGTTTTTCTTTAAGGTATCTGTGGGAAGAGAATAGGATAGACACTGGACACCAACAGGCGGGGCTAGTGGGCACGAAAAGGTACATGTCCCCTGAAGTGGTCGCAGACTGCATGGACAGGACCAGATTCGAGGCATACAAGGTGACGATTTGTGTTTATTGGTTATCAGCTTCCAGCGTAGTTTCCCTTTTCTTTTCCGAACTATTTATGGCTTCATCATGGAAATTTGATTGGAAAACTAAGATCATTCTTGTTTATTTTTCATAACGCAAATTTAATAAAAAATAGAAAAACTGGTCGTGTTTGATATATTGAAGCAGATTACTTCAATAGTTTTTTTTAATTGTAGATGCTAAGTCGGTGTTTCAAAATCTATTGTTTTTAGTTTGAGTTAATGCTGCTTGATTTAATTTATGAAGTCGAGTCAAGAACTACCAGTAATATGTAGAGATTAGTACACATTAACAGGTACAAAGGTGTTTTTCGAATTAAAAATTCCGAAAGGTAGCGAAGGTTTTTTCACTCTTATCTTACTATAAAGTAACACTAGCTGCTTTTTGTTGTCCAAATACTATTTTTTTCTGATCCCAATTATTCAATTTACTGTCCAGATCTGGGGGAAGCTCTTATTTCTAAACAGCTAAAATTCATTACAGGATTGTTTACGAGAACTAGTTTTTCGCTGAAACAGTCCAGCTCTATGTTTTTTGTTGTAGGCCTGTGACATGTACAACTTGAGTCTGGTGTTGTGGGAGATTGGGAGATGCACTGCGAATACAGTTAGTGGAGTGACTGCATCCGCCTACTGTTACCCCTTCCACGACGTGCTCCCAAATGACCCGTCTGTACAGGATGTCTACCAGGTGTGTAAAACTCTCTGATTCCGGCACTGTTGATGTTGTTGATATTTTTGTAGGCATATTTCCCTGATTGAGGTGTAACTGCTTGCTATGACAAGTGTGCTCCACAAATAGCAATATGTTATTTGGAGCATTCTGTAGTTGCCGTTTTCTTAGCGTTTTTAACATACTGGTGAGGTTTCTTTATGTGGCTTTATGTACAAATCTAGGATACTATCTTTGAATGTTTGGGCTCCGTTTTATTGCATTTTGACGATTTGATAGGTAATAAACGCAGAGAAGACACTTTTTAAGTCACTGCTTAAAAATATGGTAGAAAATAATTGAACCAATTTTAAATTCAGCCAAACTTTCAAAACATCTCGACAAAAACAAGTTTTCCGAATGATGATGAACTACGATGAGTGAATAAAATTCCATTTCTCAGGTGGTGTGTGTGAACAAGATGCGTCCCCCAATCCCACCAATCTGGTCACGTGATCCCGTCTTCAAAACCATCTCCAGAATCATAATGGAGTGCTGGACGGAAGACTGGCAAGCGAGACATTCGGCCTTACGGGTTAAAAAGACATTGTCAACGTTGATGGAGGAAAATCAGAGAAACGTGATGTCAAATTTGCAATTGGAGATGAAGAAAGCGGCACAGTTCGAAGATAAAAATATCGAGCAAAGAGGAATGCATTATACTGAAACGATTGCGTAATATGACAGAAGATTTGCACCGAAATTAAGTTACGCACAAAAAGATGTCAGATTAAACTTAGTGAAAGAAATCTGAAGTATAAACCGAAAATGATATGTACCAAAGCCCTGGTAGATTCACGCAACAATTTAACTAGACTGTTGAACTTGACCTTGGATTAACCAAACTCGAAGAAATTATTCAGTATGCTGCAGCGAACAATTTCAGCACAAAGTTGGCAAAATTGGAATGTGATAATTAATCTAAATATAACTGCTTCCGGAAGCTTTTCGATTGATAAAAAATTAAAATATTTCATGGAGGAACAATAAAAAATCAAGAGCAGCAACTCTCGGACCAACAACTTTAAAAAACGTCTTCGGGAGAAGTTATCTCCTATTAGTTCTTTCATCTATCTTAGAAATTTAATCCTATCTAACAGCATAGTGGGCTTCTGATATTCGCTTTAAAAAACTACTTCGAAAAATGGTACTAATAGTTTATATCCATTATATCGCAATCAAACTTTGATACAAATGGGATCAACCGATTTAGTTTTTTTGGAACCTTTTTATCTCAAACCGCCAGGATATTTTTTTTGGATAAATTATTCCTAAAGTTTCTCTTAGCCGTTCAAAGTAGTTTAAATGGCGGTTGATTCCTTTTTGCACTTTAGCATAGTTTCGAGTGAAACAGGTCAAACTGATTGAAATACAGTCACCTATGTAAATTAACTGCTTCGTAAATGCAAACTAATCTGATTAGATAATCGAAAGTGTTGTTTATTATTTAGAGCAATCAATTGCTAGAGCACAAAATAGTAAAAGTTTCAGCGATGAGTACCAAAAAACACTGAGTTTGACGGAACATATGCTTTAGTTTCGAACTATAATTACCAAACAATGGAGTAGATTTATTGCCGTATATTTCAAATTGTGTAGCTCATCGCGGAAAATTTTGCTAAAACCAGTATTGTTAAATTAATTGTTTATTGGAAACGTCAATTTGATGCTTTGAGCCGTTTCTTGACCATTGATGAAGTCGTTAGATGCACAATAACCATATTTTATGTAGTATTTACTTTTGTAACACGTTTTGTAATCAAAATCAAATTTGTAAACAAAAATGTTTTTAATCGATGGCTCCATTAGTGTTTCGGAAAAAAGTTAATCAAGGATAATAGCAAAGAACCTAAGCAGCGAATCTGAATAGAATTAGTTCAAACTTTCAAGCCCATTAAATTTTGAGAATGCTCAAACGAAAGTTCTAAGCTGTAAAATCTATCTATCTATATCTATCTATCTATATCTATCTATCTATCTATCTATATCTACCTATCTATCTATACTATATTTAAATGCGAGTGACAGCTATCTCCCATGTTTAAGCATAAAAATTTTGCATGTTTAACGAAAGAACTTTCATGTTTAAGCTATATCATATATTGCAATGCTCAAGGAAATTTTTCAATTATTTTTTCGCAAGGTCATTAATTTTTCAGTATTTTTTTTTGAGGCCAAATTAAGTCTGTCTGTATACCTGCTTTTTAAATTAATTTGATTATGTCTGTCTACCCGTCGCCTAATTTTTTAACTTTCATCCATTTTAAATTTAAATGCGGGCTTCACTATCTCGCCAAGTTTAAGCTTTTTCAACGTATTTATTTTGCATGTTTAACAGAAGAATTTTTTCACGTTTAACCTATATCGTATATTGCAATGGTTAAGGTTTTTTTCTTTCGATTTTCCAGTTTAAATTCAGTGTTTATTTCATCAAGTTTGTAATTAGCAACCCGATAGTAGGATTTTGTCAGAGTTCTCCTAGGTTCTGCGATTCTGGCCCCCATATATGAATAACCAAATCCTTTAAGTTTACGAGATAGGCAATTTTCAAGATTTTTCAAAAATTTCTAGAAAGTTTAATTTAGAAAAACTCTCAATTTTGAAAGTCTCACCTTGTAGTTGGGTGCTTTCGGGGTACTCTGAGGGGTTGCGAATCTTTCTCCAGTCCTCACTTCTCAAATCCTTGTAGTTTTCGAGATGTCTTTAATGATTTTTTCAAAATATTTTCAAAAACTTAGATTTTGAAAAGTTCCAAAATGTTGAAGATCTGAATCCTGTTGTGGGATATTGTGAGGGTACTCTCAAAGGTTGCGAACCTTGCCTCTGATTATGGCAGCTCAAATCGTTGTAGTTTTCGAGATATGACGTTTTTTAGATTTCGAGATATGACGTTTTTTAATTTTTTTTTTAGAAAACCTAGATAAAAAATTTTTCACAAAACTTGAAATTACCATCTCTGTAGTGGGACTTTGTCAGGGTACTCTCAGGAGTTGCGAATTTTGCCGCTAAATATGACTGCTCAAATCTTTGTAGTTTTTGAGATATGACGTTTTTTATGATTTTCTCCGAAAATTTAATTGTTAAAAAATTGCAAATGTTTGAAGGTCTCAATCCTGTTGTAGGATATTGTGAGGGTACTCTCAAAGGGGTTGCGAATCTTGCCTCTGATTATGGAAGCTCAAATCGTTGTAGTTTTCGAGATATGACGTTTTTGTGATTTTTCAAAAAAGTTTTCATGAAAATTAAATTAAGTTGAATTTCCTAAGCTGTAGTTGGGGGGGGGGGGGGGGGGGGGGGGGGGGGGGGGGGGGGGGGGGGGGGGGGGGGGGCTGTCAGAGTTATCTCAGGGGTTGCAAATTTGGCCTCCAATTAAGAATGCTCAAATCATTTTTGTTCAAGATATACGACGATTTTTGTGATTTTTTTTCAAGTTTTCAGAAAACTCAAATTACAAAATAATTCGTTAAAGTGAAATTCACACTCCTGTAGTTGTGTACTTTCAAAGATTGCAAATATTTTGGTAGTTTTTGAGATGTGAATTCCTTTTTTTTTTAGAAAACTTAGGTGAAGTTTCTCAAAGTTTGAATTTCCCAACGTTGTAGTTGGGTACTGTAAGAGTTCTCTCAGGAGTTGCAAATCTTGGGTCCAAATGCGACTGCTCAATTGCTTTCAGTCTCCCAGATGTGACGTTTCTTAGTTCATTTTAAATTTTTCGAAGAACTTATATAAAACTTCACACAATTTTATGGTTCTTCAAAATTTGTATAAAAAATCTGAATAAAAAAACTTTGCAAAATTTGTAATTACGAACCCTTTAATTGGGTGCTGTCAGAGTACACTCAAAGAAAGGTTTTTGAGTTGTTGAAACTTCGAGGCACCGGAGGTGCGTTACACGCTAGTCAATTATAAAATGAAATTGATTTTCGTTTTAGTGTTTACGAGTAGATGTGACTAGTCAACTCAGCAGATGCGTATCTGAGATTTTATCCTCGGTATCACCAGAATAGAACCAATTTAGGCACCAATTTTTTGCTTCGTTTAGGAAATCTAAGGAAAATACTTAATAAGCAGCAATGTAATTAGGTAAGAAATGACTTTAAGAAGTGTAAAGAAGGATTTGATTTCTCGAGTCCGGTGTGTTTTCTAGTTAAAGTTTTTTTTTCTCGCGGTTCTTTTTTGGCGGCTTGTCTTTTGAAACAAGTTGAGTCATTTTTTTTCAATGGATTCTCCGGTAACAGATATGGGAATGGCATGGAAAATGTGCTTCACTTTTACTTTCCAACATTTGATGTTACTTCTCGTACCATTAGTGTAATATAAAACATTGATTAAAACGTTTTGATTTTAGACTTCACAAAAAGAAGCATCTTTGCGGGGAAAATACACCAATAAAAAATTACTGAAATCAAGACATGCCAAATGGAAGATATTTTGTTTAAAATTTCAGAGTAACAAAAAATCAGTTTTTTTTCTACTGTTCATAGACGTTTTTCAGTCGTCAGTGGGCTCTGTTTAGCGATCAGCTCCTCCTATGAGGAATTTTTGCTTTGCTGACCATTTTTGCCGCTAGTGTGGTCGAGTGAACCAGCACTGCTGAATTGTTGTTGTTGCCCACAAGCGCTGCTGGATCAGTGTTTCTAGGGCACATTAAAATGTGTTTGTCGTTTTGATGCTTACAGAAGCCAACTGTATGTGCTCAATCGATCCGAATCTAGAGCAAGAACTCTTAATTGGTTAAAAACTAACAGCAATAGCCAGTTGAGTAGCAATGAGAGCTGCGTGGCAGAAATTTAACAAAAATCGAAATGTTTTCTCGAATTTAGTTTTTTTTTCGGGAAGGAGAGATTGATTGCATCAACTTCTATATAAAACCAATCCTACTACATTGATCTTTCAGTTTCTTTCAACAAAATTGATATTTTTGAACATCTGTTAAGCCAATATTTTGAACTTGTTAAAGAGGTATGTCGCAACTCTCATTGTTTCTTCACGCTCCAGCTATGACTAACCTTTGTTGCGCTGATAGCATAGGCTTTATTCGAGTAATAAATCCCTTTTTTCCGACCATTGAGGGGTATGTTTTAGTTTTTTCTGTTATTTTTCAGGCAAAATTTGGTACACGAAAAATCATCGAACAGCTCGTGTAATTTATCATCGTGAAGCCCTTTCTGTCGCAATTTGAACGACATTTAAAAATGTGCGAGTAGGCTTATTTTATTTTCTAACCAAAATCAGTTCCCACGATAAGCAGTGAAAAACTTAGTTTAATTCCACGAGTAGTTTTGGCGCTTCATTTAGCGGTGCTTTGGCATAAAAAAAATTTCCTAAAGTAAAATTGATAATGCAAAAAATAATAAATTATTTTATTTTTCGGTTTTTCTATTTTTTCATTTTTCGAAGTTAAATTTTGTCTATTTTGGCTAATTTAGTAACTCAACCAATCGTTTCGTTCTCGTTTCACAACATTAGCAACATGATTTTCATTTGAGAAAAGGCAAAAAAAATCTGAATGGCCGGTACATTCTGTGCTACTTGATCAGAAACTAGCTATCCTTGTTTCTGTTTGAACTCTCACATTTAAAGATATGTTTTGCAAGTACTACTTACCCCATGAGTACACGCAATTACAAATTAAAGTGATATAATAAACGTCCGTTAACACATTGTTTGTATCGGCGCAGAGACAATTCAGCCACAGACAATTCAGCCGATAGGAAATACAGACAAATCAGCCAAAAAAACTCAGACAATTCGGCCTATTTAGATTAAAGAGACTAGATAAAAGGAAAAATTGAAACTTTTCTAATTTGATTAGAGTCAGAAGGCTTTCAACACTTTAACAAAGAAATGCGATATATCAAATAACAAATTTCAAGGATCAAAACAAACTTGTTATGCATAAAGTCTTCAATACTAATGTATATGGTCTCGATTGTATTTTTTTTTGCGTTTTGAACGAGTTTCTCATTGGCGATTGAATACTTGGGCCTCGGTTTTCTGATAATATCACCGGACATCAGTCTCGGCATTAATGTCGGCATTTTTTCTGCTCTTCTTTGAAAAGTGTGAACAGTTTGGCACGGGCTCGGTGCTTTGTCCATACCAATTTTACGAAGCTGCTATTCCATGCCTCCAATACATTGTTCGTACGAGGTTCTCCGCTGAGCACCCGATTAAAAACGTTCCGATCGGCAATGTCAAACTTTGGTCTGACGCGTCTATTCGCTCGACAGGCACCAATATAGGTGTCATCAAAATAGTCCGGTAGACTCTGAAATTCCTTTGAGGGATCCTCTTTAGGAGCGCCTCAAAAGCGAAAATACGTCGTCAACGGGAATGAATGCCAAGCAAATAATTTTTTTGACAATCAGTCGAAACTCATCATCGTCCATGTACTTGCGCGTATATCCAAGTTTTTGTACATTGCGCCATACTGACTGGCTCAAGTGGAAGAAACAGAAGTTAATTTCTGTATCAGGATGCAATTTCCTTTTGGCGTTGCGAACAGCGGCTTCAAAATCAATGACTAATTTTTTTCCAAATTGCTCCAAGCAGTCAAAAAGTTTTCATATGTGTCTTGAGTCTTGTTGGGCAGCAGAGCATACACCAAGGATATAACTGCGATTTCGATCACACCATGAATAGTATAAACTTGGTAGAAGACATCTGGTGCCACTGAAAACGTTCCATCGCAATGACAGATTTCTGACGGAGAAAGCAAATCGAGCGCAGGTAATGTTGCAAAAACTAAAATTCGACTGTCCGACTTACCAGAGTCAAAATATAGGAACGTATCACCGCTGTGTGTGAGTTTGAGAGGTTCAGGAATTTCGTCAACGCTCTCAAGTTTTTTTTTGGTTTTGGCATTGTTTCTAAGGCTTGCTGCCTGATTCGGTTTATACTCCGAAGAGATGTTGAGTAACTCGGTATTGTCGGTGCTGCATAAAGAGGCAGATCCATTTGGGCGTTGAAGACAATCTGTCGGGAGCGTTACCAGTGTTTGCGGCTTTTCTCGAACTTCGTTAGCAAATTTCTTAGCTTGAATTTTTGAGAGGCTCGGTAAATGAGCATGCTCGGTTTTTAAGGTGAATTCTTGCTGGTCGTCCAAGTAACCTACTGCTCTGCAACTTCCAAATGTACATTGCCATTTAATGAGACCATTCTTAAGTTGATTTTTCTCACGGTATCTATAAACATCTGAACAAAGATGCTTTTTCCGCAATCAGATAATACGAATTCCATTTTACGTCAGCTTTTGCTAAAAGTGAAAGAATGAGAATGATTCAGATAGTTATCAACCAGTTGTTCAAGCTATTTGCCAATGAAGATTATTCAATGTTACTTGTGTGAATGGACCATCTAACTGCAAAAAGTAGGCGATAAACGCGGTACTGCTTTCTGGTTGGACAATATTTTAAACTTCTTTAAAAGATAAACTAATTGCGATTAAGTTTGAAGTTAGTTTCAATCAATTACCCAAATTATCTGATAGGTGGTTGCACCCTCCACTGCCTAAGGCATGATAAGAATATCAGTAAGCTTGCCTCAAGTTTTACAGGAAGTCAGAAACAAAGAATGATGAAAATGCTGAAACGAAGCGATTTTCATTTTTGACTGCGTTTTTAATTCGTTGAGAGCTAGTGTCTTGAAATCGAGAACTACGTTCTTTCCATAAAACGAGGTTTTTTTTACAATTCACAGCTCTTGTTACAAATCATACTTCTGGCATAAAATGTACTAGCAGAGGTTGATCAAATAGAAATTAAGTTTTACCAAAACCTTGAGCCGTCAACCTGTAACTTGTTTGATACAATGAGAAAGTCTAGAATATAAATAGTTCAATTGTTGTAGCTAAAAAAACAAGAGTAGTAGGTTGCTATGCATGTATCACATTTTCCAATCATACTGATTCAAGAAAATAAATTGAAAAAAGGAAGAAGTTGAAAGAATATCGAAAGAAAAATTCAAAATCTGCCTTAATTAGATGGAAAACTGACTAACGATGGAAAAGACTAAAGAGGCAATATGACTAAATTGACGTTAGAATTTTAGTACTTTTGTAAAGGTAAAATTTTAAGTGTTGCGTCAGCCTCATCAATTTTCGTCTAATTTTGTCTAAAATAATTTTAGTCAGAGAATTTTTTAGAATTACGACCAAATCACGAATAAATGTTTTATTATGCTACAGCTCTTGACTCCCTACGAGCATTCTTTAAACTGGTAAAAATTTGCTGAAAAAAAAACGACCCAAACCCAAAGTTCCTAACCACTCTTCGAAAGTGGTCGGAACAAAAATCAGGATAAATTCTGTACACCAAAATAAACAGTAGCTGTCTTAGAAAAACTTCCGCCACTATGGAACCTTCCAGCTAATATCATACCAGCAGTGCATAATCATGGAATCAATTTAAGGTGATCATGGTTAGTTGGCCATTATCTCAAAGCTCTCCGATATCAGGTGTCAATGAAACGAAGGCCTGCTCATCAAGTTTAGCGAGCAAACTCAATCTTATCGATGTTCGACTTTGCCAAATCTCAAGAATGAAAAACTCACTGTTGGCTTAAATAAATCGGATACAAATTCTTTTTTGCTAATATACTCGCAGCGCATATTGAGCCAAATTATGAAAATAATTGAATCGTTTCGCTCTTTTTTGTATCCGACCTCATATCACAGATTCGAAAAATTAAAACAGACGTTTCCGACAATTGCATCATGCATCGCCATAACAATATTCCTTCTATTTGGAACAGCGCTGCTTCAATCGGCTTTGCTTTACTGGGTTGAGTTTACATCGAAAGCGAATAAGTGCGAAACATCAACTTCAGCTTGGGAGTCATACTACAAAATAGAATTATCCCATGAAACTGAAACTCAATTTCCGGATTACAAATTATACGTTGCGGTTGAACTGTTCACAGAGAAACTCTACCTGAACAAAAACTTCTCATTTGATCACGAGGAGTTTTTAGATGGAGTTCCAATTTTGTTCATTCCTGGCAATTGTGGGTTTCACGAACAAGGCAGAACAATCAGTTCGATTTTGACGCATATGATTGAAAGCAGAAAGTATGTTGGCTCTGTGCATTTCGATTATTTCACAATTGATTTCAACGAGGAATCTTTGGCGATGTCGGGACATTATTTGTTCAGAGCTAGGGTACGTTTAAACATTGAAAGTTTCTCGATACCTTTTTGCTACACTTGTGGACACAATTAAGCGCAAATTTAGGTTTAATCTCATAGTTGCTTATTTTCAAGGATTATTTGGAATACAGTGCTGATTTAAGTTAACCGGACAAAACGAACAAAATTTGAAATTACAAACATTTTTTTCCATTTGGGTTAGGATTTGACAAAAAATGAAGTGAACAAAAATTACTTCAAATTTCACCAGAATTATGCTGCAATTTTTTCGTCGAAATTCTCAACCAAATTTTACCCCAAAAATGGGTCATTTCGGCTCTTTTTTTTTAAATTTATCAAGAATTACGCTGAAACTACTATGTTAATAAATGAGAAAAGTATAAATCCCAACCAAGCTATAGAAAGGTTAAATCGCTAAAAATGGTGTAAATTGTTTAAAATTCAATTCAAAGCAAAAATTTTGCGTTTTATATAGTAAAATCACATTTCTTGACTATCAAGCAAAAATATTTTTTATACAGGTTTTTGGAGATTTAACCTTTCTAGAACCTTGTTGGGATATGTAAGAGACTTCTGGTGATATATAGTTTTCTCATCTATTTACAAGGCAGTTTCAGCGTAATTCTTGATTAATTAAAAAAGTCAAAATGAGCCATTTTTTGGGGAAAAATTTTTGATGAGAATTCCGGAGAAAAATTTGCAGCATATTAATTCTAGTGAATTTCTAAGCATTTTTTTTTCAGTTCATTTTTGTCTAATCTTTGCCCAATTGGAGAAAAACGCATTTAAAAATTCAAATTTTGTTCGTTTTTGTCCGGATAATTCAAATCAGCACTACTAATTAGGATTTTACTCTTTAAAATGCCTGTTTCAAATGTTAGTTTTCGCCTACATTTCCTTTGAATATCAGTAAAATATTTCATAGACTAAAAGCAAATGATCAGAGTTAACCTCTATGAAAGTATCAAAATTTGGTTTTAAAGACTTATCAGTGTTTCCGGTTCTGAAAATTCCAGTTTTCCTCATCTGCACTTAGTTTTGCATCGTTGTGAATTCTTTCTTGAATAAGCGTAGTAAAAAAGTTGTTAATACGAAGTGAAACATTCTCAGCTGTAAAATTCAAAAATCAGTGTGAAAGCTTGTTTCACGTCGCATGAACAACGTTGTTATTCCGCTTATTCAAGCAAGAATACAAACGACGCAAAACTAGTGCAGATGAGGAAAACTGGAATTTTCAGACCCGGATTAAATTACTAAGTCATTAAAATCAAATAAAAATAGTTTCAGACAGGGTAGCTTTGATTATTTGCTCTTGGTCTATGTAAAATTTAACTGAAATTCATTGGAAATGGTGTCACAAATTGGCATTAAAAATAAGCCTTTAAAGTGAAAAAATCCTGAGTTTGTGCTTAATTTTGCCCACTAATGTACTTTGAGTTCGGCACCACACTTCTGTCCCAGCTTAAGATATTTCTCTACTAGAGTAGAAATGAATCCTCGTTTAGAAACACTTATTTTATCAGAATTGATTTTTTTTGCCGAAATTGTAGTGTTTAAAATTTATGGCTAAATCGTAGTAATATTCAGTTTCTGTTCTTAAAGTTGAACTTCTCAGCTGTTTGTATTATTTTATAGGTTCGTTTTTAGGCCTTCGTTGAAGAAAGCATCCTTCGCATCAGGACTCTCTACAAACAGCCCAAGAAGATCCTCCTCATAGGCCACTCAATAGGCGGAGTCATTGGACGGTCTCTGGACTCTTTTGGATCCCCCTGGGCAGATACTCTGGTGACGATAGCCAGTCCCCACTTGATGCCAGTGGTGTACACGGACAAGGAAGTGGAGAGGTTTTACAAGGAGTATTTAAAAGATCCGTCTGAGAATAGGTCAGGTGATTTTAAAAAAAATTCAAGTGTGTAGAAATTTAATATGGAACATTTCCCAATTCTGCCCTCCTCAAAAAATTTCACCCCATTTAGTTTTCTACCCTCAGTTATTATGCAAATTTGTGTGAGAATAATTTATCATTCAATAATTTAACCTGGAATACAGTGCTGATTTAAATTAACCGGACAAAACGCCTTAGACTTGAAATTTAAAACCCGTTTTTCTCAAATTGGGATGAGTTTAGGTGAAAACTTATGAAGACAAAACTTGCTTAAAATTTCAGCAGAATTAACATGGTGTAATTTGTTTTGCGAAATTTGGGCCCGAAGTTTTATCCCAAAAATGGGGTATTTTGGCTTTTCTTAGTTAATCAAAAATTACGCCGAAAATACCCAGTCGATCACAGACATAATTATATCAAAGTGAGCCCCTTACATAGCCGAACAAACTTTAAGAAGGGTATAATCTCCAAAATATTGTAGAAGTTAATTTATTTTTGTTTGAGAGACAAAAAAGGTCGTTTTACTATATAAAATACCAACTTTTTATTTAAAAACAATTTTTAAACAATTTGCAAATTTTTTGGAGAAAATACCCTTCTTAAAGTTTTTTGGGCTATGTAAGGGGCTCACTTTGATATAATTATGCCTGTGATCGACTGGGTATTTTCGGCGTAATTTTTGATTAACTAAGAAAAGCCAAAATGACCCATTTTTGGGGTAAAACTTCGGGCCCGAATTTTGCAAAACAATTTACACCATGTTAATTCTGCTGAAATTTTAAGCAAGTTTTGTCTTCATAAGTTTTCACCTAAACTCATCCCAATTTGAGAAAAACGGGTTTTAAATTTCAAGTTTAACGCGTTTTATCCGGTTAATTTAAATCAGCACTGTAGAAGTTAGAGAGGACGAAATGTGGAAATCGCAGAACTTATAGTGACAAATATCACAGTAACAGTAATGTGTCTACTGATCGATTTTTCAGATAGTGAATCTGCTTTTTCAATATATTTAAGGAGAATTATTCCATTAGCTCAGTTTTGAGGTCATCGCTTGGAAATGGCTTACATTTTAAAATCAAAAACTTTTTACACTTGTGGATCACCTAATTTTAGTTCTACGTAATATATAGGAAACTTGTTCTTCCGACCATTGAAAATGGGGATAAACTTTGTATTCGGGTGTGTTAACGTTTGTTATTTTTTTGCTTTCTACGCAAAATCAGATGCCACAAATAATGAGAGACGCTTTGGAAAATTTTTTCACTTTTTTCAAAAATTTAGTTTTTCTAAAAACTACGCTACCGATTTTCATAAAGTGGTACAAATGAGAAATCCACCCACTCCACTGTGTGCCTGCATAATCCCCTAGTCCCTAGTCTCTTTTTACCTTCTTTCTGCAGCCTAAGAAAAAGAGTGTGGGTGGAATTTTTGACCCATGTTTTTGGGTTTTTTTTTATTTTTTCGGAAAGTACTTTCCCAAATCTGAGGTCTTGGTTTCAATGGATAGAACAGGCTGTGGGAATCTTCCCTGTTTTAGCGGCTACGCCCAATTTTTTTAAACAAAAAGTTATGACCCTCGCAAAAATCAAAATTTCGAGTTTTTGACAGTTTTTTGAAACTTTTTGACTTTTCTCAAAAACTACCTTCCCAAATCTGAGGTTTTTTTCAATGAGTAGAAAAGGTTATGGGAAGCTCCGCTGCTTAAATGTTTATGCCTAAGTTTTTTACACAAAAAGTTATGACCCTCCAAAAAGTCATTTTTTCGCTTTTTGACCATTTTTGAAAATTTTTAGAATCAATAGAAAAGACGTGTTGTGGGGAACTCCCCTGCAGAAGCGATTATGCCCAAATATTTTTACTAAGAAATTATGACCCTCGGAAAAATCAAAATTTCGAGTTTCTGATCACTTTTTGAAACTTTGTTTTCTTCAAAAACTACCCTCCCAAAACAGAGGTTATGGTTCCATTGAGTAAAAAGGGTCGTTGGAAGCTCCGCTGCATAAGCGGTAACGCCTAAACTTTTTTACAAAAGTTATGACCCTCGGGAAAGTCAAATTTTTGATTTCTAACCATCTTTTGAAACTTTTTGACTTGTCCTTCCGCATCAGTACATAAAATTCAAAAATTATCAAACAGGTATTTCCAGCTTTAGCTGGCCTCTAGTGTCATTTTTAATTTTTTATTATAATTTAATTTTAGTCCATTAAAGTAATTTTAGTTTTTTTTTTCAGCGAACTTTTGGGAATCAAAAACTTTTTCATTTTTTTTTGAATTTTTTTTCTTTTCTGGTCCTTTTTCTACAAAAACTGTTGTCCAATTTGCATACTTTACTATGGATGTCGAATATGCCTAACTTGTAGTCTCTCGTTCAGATCCTTTTTTACATACCGCGCAGAAAAACAAGGATGTTAATTTGAAAAAAATTTTCTTTGTTTTTTTATGGTTATGGTCTCAACATTATGTGCTTTTTGCACAGTTACCGGCTAATCTTGCTGTTCGGACTATTTGAAAAATGTGGAGGAACTTTGTGTTCGGTTGTGTTTTAGTTTTTTTTTGTTGTTTTCCACGCAAAATAATCATCGTAATGGGTCGAGTGATTTTTGGTCTAATTTCAAGCTCAAAAGGTGAGCGTTCAGGCTCATAATAGCTTATTTGTGCTTAATTTAAACCTTGAAAACTTAAGCTCACTTGTGTAAAAGTACTTTTTGGAGTTTCTGAGCGCCAATTTGGTAATAAAAACTTTAAAATTCAAAAATATTCTCCAATTTTTTACGAGTTTTTTTGTTTTTTTATAGTCATTTTTCTTAAAAAACTGTTTTTCAACTTGGCTATTTTATTATGACTGTCGAGTATGCTTGAGTTTTTTTTCCGTTCAGATGTTTTTATCTTACCATGCAGAAAAAGTGACACTAATTTGAAAAAAAAGACTATGGTCGGAACTTTTTGTGCTACTTGCACAGTAACAGGCTATACTTGTTAACAATCCCTTTTGTATGATATTCAATAGAGAATCCACCGAACGTAAATATTGCAAATTTTTTAGCCATTGGAGCTATTAATTTATTACAATGGTGTCTTACAAAAAAAGTCCGAAAGATCTCAGCTGTTTTCTCTAAATAGGTTCCTGATCTCATTCGCTCCCGGCAGACGTGACTTCACAGTGCCTGGACACCTCACCAGACTCCCATCATCCACATACACATCCACGTCCTTTTCTACTTCTGCTCGGTCTCAAGAGCAGTTAGCTGATCCCCTTGTGTCGTCACCACATTTGAGACATCTCTCCTTCGAAGCCATTCCCAAGGTCATTAAGATGTGTCAGTTTAAATGTCATCTTTGACAGTAAAATAAAAGATTTCAGCTAAGATTACAATTGTTCATTTGTTTCGAGTTCAGTTTAAGTGAAGTGAATATGAGTTTTACATGGTTAAATGTTAGAGATCTCCAGAGATCCATTTTTGTAGCGAACATCTTTTTCAATTATCATCATCATTCTTTTTTGTTTCTTGATTCTTTAGGATTGGGTATACATAGAGATACATTTCTGTTATTGAAGGATATTCTTGTTTTAAAACTAATCTTTATGTGGCTCTATGATTCGAAACCTCCTATGGTCGTCCATTTTTAAGGAAAACAAATTTTTCAGTTATTGTTCCTGTTTCGAAGATAATGGAATATTTACAGTCAATTTTCGCCGATCGAAATAATAGTTTTCGACAAAATTTTTTTGTACCCCATTGAACATATCGCTTCCTGAGTTCAAATGTAAAAAGATAGTTTACCTCCGATTTTTTTTTGTAAAGTTCTGGGGGCTTGAAAATTGCCAAATTGGCCATGTTCTGGACCAAATTATGCGCGCTTTAAAGAGTTTATTCATAATGCTGAGAGCGTAACTCGAATCATTTATGCGTGGCAAATATCCCGCACAACAAATTATCCAAATTGAAGTGAAGCTACCTAATCGGCATTATTATTTTGGCACGACTCAAAATTTCACACTTTGATATTGTCCAAAATTTATAGGTTTTCAATAGTTTCTTTTCCCAAAAACTATTCGATGTGAATTAAGCGACCGTCGGAACATTCAAGGCTTTGCCCTGATATACGACCAGTCCTGTCATCATAATTGTTTGTTTGAAAGAATGAAAAGTTAGTTTGTTTTAAAATTCTCCTTCTGCTCTAGTCCCACCAGTCGGCTGATCACGTGGCCTCTTCTTACTGCAACTCAGCGTGTATTGTCATCTCCAGGATGATACTAGACTGGGTGGACTTCCAACAGATGCAGTTCATGGACACCCAGACTAAGAGAGATGTGTACTACTACCATTTTGTGAGAAATCCAGGCTAGTTTGTTAAGTTTTGATACGTAATTAGAAGGCTTGTTAGAGATTTTTCTAAAAAAAAAATTTCTCCTTGGGTAAAAATTTTCTCCTTAGCCAACCCTATTTGAGGTTGTTCAAAGTTCCTTTGCATTTTAAGGGCTTTTGGAGGTTCAACTAATTTTACTGGATCAACAGGACATCAAGTTGTGACTTGGATAATTGGGTCTTTTCTATTGTAGCCCCGCCCCCCACCCAAAAAAAAACTATTGACCCACGAAATGCAAAATTATTTGCTTGCGTGGGTATACTTAAGCTGAAAGGGGGCTATAATGTGGGAAAACATGGATAATTTGAATCTTTTAAAATCTATTTCTGTTCGAGTTTTGTTAGATCAATGGAACTGTTTCTAAGTGTTAATGCAAATATATAGGCAACAAGAGTCTACGATACGAGACTGACAACCACACTGAACTCAATTTAATCTGCAAACCCATCGGAGAACGATCTAGAACATTCTACTACCTTTCAATCACATCCGGTGCAAGTTTCATTGCTGCTAAAAAATCAGACGAAGATGAACCAGTGTTTCTAAACCGACATGTGTTTTCCGTCTTACCGCCAATTCAAAAGACAGTGAAGACCCCTGATTTCAAAATGGAACGACTAGTTGCTACTAATAAATACGCTGCCCTGGATTGCAATGCGTTGAGAGAAGAGGGATATACAAAATTGTGTCTGCCAATAACTACTCGGATGAGCGATGAGAAGTTCGATGTTGGCTATGCTTTCAACGCGGATCAGTTTTTGAAATTAGGTTACATTTCAAGATGGTGTTCAACAGTTTATTTATGTTTAAACTTGACTGCTAAAAGTAAACTTTTATCGCATTCACAAAAAAAAACAGAAAAATCAATATAATTTTGAAAAAATTTCTTGGTGTATCAAATCAATATTTTGAAAATTTTCTTGCTTAAGAAAATCAATACTAAGCGTGGTCGGATTTTTCTGTGCTGATTGCACAGCACATGGCTATTTTTCAACTATAGCAACTATTTATAAAAATTTCTTGGTCATTTGAAAAAATATAAATAGTTTTTTTTGCGTGAATTTTTATTTGTTTGCTGTCATGCTTCAGTGCTGCGTTCTTTCAAACCTGAATACGGCCGATTAGAAGGTTGATACTATCTTTACAAGAAATCTAAGTATTAAGCGTATTTCACTTCTATACAACATTGAATTTACCGAAAGTACTACATATATTATTAAAATCAGACTCAAATTCCTACATGTAACAGAAAATGTGTTCAATTTGGCATATAAAACTTTTTAGTCCGCCAAAACGTTTTTTCCAATGTTTTTGAGAAATCATTTTGAGATAGCCTCACATGGCTACTAAAGATTGAATCAAGTGTATCAACTGCATGTTTAGACATAACGAAAGCAGGCAAGATAGGAACCCTTAAAGACGTCATGTACGTGGACATCACGCTAACAGGACTTCACAAAACACTGCATGTTTTCGACGTGGACGTTGAATCGAGTTGCGAGGATGCGTTTATGATCTACGGAGGAGAGGATGGAAATGTTCCTTATGATACGACTAAAGGTGAGAGAAAAGCCTTTTCGGAATATCGGTCTCGAAAAGGTGAAAATGTGCTTCGAATTAGAAGAATTGTTCGGAAAATCCTTTCGTTTATTTTTGTCTACCTTTCTGTAACCTAGCTATTTGCACACTGACTGCTGTATGAAGTAATTTTTTTGCTATGAGGGAAGTTGCGAGCATCATTTCTAAAAACATCTTTAAAGAAAAAAAATATGCCAGGAATGGAAATTTTTTCGGTAATTAAGATGATGATAGTGACTTTATAGACTCTTTTATACTGGCAAAAAATGTAATGCAAATAGAAAATTGGTGTCTATTATGATGTTAGTTTTTGCCCTTGGATTGTGATGTACTAATGTTAACTAAGAAAAGTACAAAAAAATTACATTTCGAAAAAACAACTAATATAAGCGCATCTTTCAATGCTGTATATTAAAGCAGTTTTTGCAAAATTTTTCAAACCACGTGACAACATATGACTTCAAATTGCATCTCTGAAAAAATGAAATACAATTTTTCAGTCCCTTCTGGTATATTCAGGATTACAATCTATGAAATTTTGTTCATTTGACAAGAGGGATCAATGTTTTCAGATTTTAAGTTTTTTCTGGTTTAATTGAGTTCCTCACATGTTGTTTTTACAAGGAATGGAAAGATATAATAATCACAAGGTTAAACACGGAAGTTTTTGTTCCGACCCTTTGAAAAATGCCGAGGAACTTTGTATTCGGGTGTCTTAATTTTCTTCTTTTTGTTTTCCATGCAAAGTCAGCTACCACAAATATCAAAGGAATTGATCGAGTTATATATATTAAAGCCATTTCAGTCGTGATTCGATCTATAAAAAATTTAAGCGTCGAGAATAACCGGTTGGAAATTTTTGATTTTTGGTTCAATTTCCAACTAATAAGGTCAGCATGCAGACTTACAATAGCTTAATTAAGCTCATTTTAAGCCATGAAAACTTTTACTCGGGTAAAGTTAGTTTATGGGGTTTTTAGCGCCATATTGCGAATCAATAATTGAAGAAAAATCTGCAACATATTTAAAAAATTGTGTGAAACTTTTTTCTATTATTTTTTCTCTTTTGTTTAGTCTTTCTCTACAAAAACTGTCCTGCAATTGGCCTATTCGACTATGATTTTCGAATTTGCGTAATTTGTATTTTTTTCCGTTCAGTTGTTTTTTACACCACACAGAAAAAACGACACAATAAACAGCAAAAAAATATCGTGACCTATATACTGGAGGAAACATTCAATGCAACCAAATAATTTTCAAACCACAAGCAAGGATAGCCGGTTACTGTGCAAATAGCACAGAATGTTCCGATCATAGTCTTAACAAAAGATTATTTCATTTTTTTTCTTCAAATTAGTCTTTAAATTTGTTCAGTCTCAAGTTCGCTTTTTTGCTGTTTGTCTTTGAAGTTCAGTTGATTTCCTTAGTTGAAAGGATGGCAAACTCGACCATTGGATAGCAAAAGTGTAAAGTTAAGGAAAACGTGATCGACTTCTAAAATCGAAAGTGGAATTTAATTATCAGATTTCGCAACGAAATATAAGTTTGACTTATTCATCCAGTTTTCTCTAATTGGGTTAATCTTATCAAAAAAGTGCCGATCATAAATTGTTCAAAGAGCTTTGAGGACATATTTTGCTTTAAAACTCGCAAGTTGAAGTTAAGCAAAAAAAAACATTCAGAGTTGTTTTCTGTATACTTGCGTTCATTGCGTCTTTTTTTTCCACCTGTCTGTTGGCTGTGTTTTATTATTCTTCGTCAAAAAACATAACGTTGTTTACATTGACTGCTGTTGTTTATGAAAGTTTATGCCAATTAAGAAGAAATAAATGAAGTTAGCAGTACCCCTGCGGTATCGGTTTTTTTCACATGCGGCTGGGTGTCGTCAGCTTCGCTCTGTCGGCTTGCCTGCTGGGCATATTACTTGTGAGAAGTCTGTTTCTTTTTAACAACTCGTACCAGGGGCAAAAGTTTTATTCTTATCTTCCGTGATGCTTGTTATTGCATTTTAGCTGTTTACGCATACTAATTTGAAAAAAAATCATGCTTTGATGCTAAATGATTCGATTGTATAGAAGTTTAATCAATGCAAGTTTCTTATTTACTTTGCTTCACGTTCTTTGTAGTTTCGTGTTTTTTCTTAAAAATAGGATAATAAGTGGGATGATTGTAACTGATTAATTGACAGCAAACGTTCGAGGCTATTGCAAAAACTTTGCAGTGTTTTTATAACAATTGAGACCACAATTCAAATAATGTTACTTTTCCGAAAGTCAATCATAATTTGTATACAATTAAAGATTTTTTAAAGAAAAACACGAACTTTACTATATAAATGAACTATGATGGTGTAATTAATTTTAAAGTTTTAATTTTTTCTGTAAAATTTGGGAGTTGAACAAGATTATCTCTGTTATAAGTACGATGTAATAGATGTAAACTAAGTTGATCGATGTTTTAACTGAAACTGTTGAAAAAGATGTTGTTTTCCAGGGTTCAACACAGTAACCATAGTCTCATGGCTTTCGTTCCAAAACATGGCCTTGAAACTCATTAAACCCATTGGGTGTGACGTAACTATACACATACGGCCATCAGTTCTCGGAATCATGCATTACGTCAGAATTCAAATAACTTCTCTGCCAACGTATTTCGTAATTCTGCTTCTAGTACTCATAGAATCGAATATTGAGTCAAAGTTTGAAACAAAACTGATATACTCGTGCTTTAAACTGAACTTCCTACTTAAATTTATAGTAACTTCAATTACAACTGCATTATTGTCAGTAGTAGCAAAGGTGCTTAGCAAGAAATCGGCAGTTTTTGATCTCAAGTTTGCTGTTGATGAAAAGTTGTTTTCCTTTTGGACACCGTTGTTATTATTTTCAACAGCTTGGGTTGCAATTGTTGTGTTTATTTTTGCCCTGGAATTTTTTCTGAAAGTTTTGATTTTCGTAGTGCCATATACATTTTTAATGCAAATTGTGAAGCGTATTTTCAAATTCAGCTGTTTCATTGGTCAAATGTTTCTGTTTATTCCATTAGTTTTAGGATTTCCAAGCCTAACTGCAGTACTGAGTGGAATTTTGATGCTGCTTTTCAATGTCAGGTGCAATTTACTGAATGAAAAAACTGCTAAAACTTCAACGTCATCATCTTTGTGTAATTCAATCATATGTGAATTTCCCATAAATCGTCCAAGAGCTAAATTTTTGACAATCAAGAATAAAATAAAGTCATGTTTCGCCAAGTTAAGCGAGCCTGTAGATATAACGGTTAATGAATGTATTAAATCTTGCCTTGAAAGACCAGACAATATTGAAAACTATGGAACCAGACAAGCTAAAACCGAGCTCAAAAACGACTTTGCACAAGCTAATTCTGGTGCTAATATGTCGCTTAGTGAACTTAGATTTCACAAGTTAGGTTTTCTTTTCTGCCTAATGACTTGTCTTCCTAATATTTTGTTTACAATAGCTCTAATGAAAGATAAACAACCAAACTACCTATATTTTGACCCTACACTACCTACTGCGTTTAGTTGCACACTTGTATATTTCGCCCATATCGCTGTAGAGTTAGTTTCACCCGAACATTGCAAAATTCAACTGGCATATTTTAAGAGTTACGACCAAGATCTAGCGGCTAAACTGATAAAATGGGTGTTTTATATCGGCATATTCTCTTCGTTTGTAGCATATTTGTACAGATTACATAACTTGTTGGTTCATTGCACCGTCTTGTACTTGACGCTTATGGTGAAGTTTGTATTTATAAATGATGGAAAAATATCGGAACTCAATCGGAAAATAAAGTGAGAAATTGGGATTTCCGATTGGCATGTCATTTTTTCCTGAAGTGCTTTTTTAAATTCTGCTTTTTTGGAATTATTTTGAATTTAATTGTGATTGTTACGATAGACCTAGCTGTTGCAATGCCTATGAATGATTTGTTTCTAAGCAGTAAATTTTGTCGTAACTCAGTTAAAATAACTTAATCAAATCTTCAAATGATGAAACAATATTTTAAATTGATTTATGATATTTTAAATTGAATGTTCTTTGCCTCAATAATTGATTTTCAAGTTCTTGTTTTTCTAACTGAGTCCATTTCAATAAACAAAAATGTAAAATAAACTGCAAAAACTAGGAGAACAATTTCTTACATTCGAACGTTAAATTCGGCCGACTGTGTCATCTTAATATGAAAAAGACATTGGCAACAATCGCAATATACATATGTCAATTTACGGTCATAAAAATGCATTGTGTTTGACCTTTCTCGCAATTGAGCTTTTTCCTATCTCAGAAAATTTCCATTTTTCAAATTGGTTTTTTTTGAACAAAAATGCTTTTCCGGTTTGTAGTAGTGCTCATTGAATGGCTCAAATAAAATTGATCACTTTGAAAAGTATTTCCTCAATAAACAGGCATAATGTTTTTAGTAGGACGAGTCGACCTAATGCAATCAGGAGGCAATTAGAATCACTTTTTAATCTTTTTTGGGCGTCCGCTGTATTGTTGTGGACAGACACAGGGGCGTCAAGAAATAAAAAGGCTTTAAAATTGGATTAGGAAAATAAACAGCTACGGTCAAATAATAAAACAGAAAATCAAACAAAAATTACATGTTTACATAAATTTATTTTTTTTCCATGGAGCAATGTTTCAGTAATTGCCTTGCCGACACGCTGAATCAAAAAAACTTCTTTTGCTCATGTGAAGCTCAGTGAAAATTTTTTCGAAAATATTTTCTAAAATCTGATATCGAAAGACGCAAATTAAGAAGATGAAGTTTGAAGAAAAAGTGAAAGTTTCCATGACATTAATATCTTAATAATTTCATTGTTGAAGACGTCATCTGTAGTAGTCGAACTCCTCTTCTTCTGATTCGCTCTCTCCTGGATTCCGAATATCCTTGAACTTTTGTACCTACAAGACAAGTTTAAGACAAGTTCCTCTAAGTATAAAATGTAATTGATTTAGCTTTTCAGTTATAGTAAATAGCGAATTGTTCTAAGCGGAAGCGGATTTAGGGGGGGGGGGGGGGTGGGTTGCCTCAGTTCGCAGGGATTTGAATCCTTGACCGCCCAGACGTTGCTCAGTTTTTTCTTCCATTAAAATGCACCTGCCATAAACGTCTCCGATGGAGCAATTTAGGCCCAAAATCGTTTCGAATCCTCACAGATACTCCTGGGTAAAAAGCAACTCTCTTTCTAAGAATTCTAACTAATGGTTTATTGTTCCAACCATTTGAAGAAAGGGTAGGAACTTGGTATTCGAGTGTTTTAGTTTTTTTTGTTTTCTTGGAAAAATCAGCTACCACCAATAATCATCAGAGAGAGTTGAAAAATATATCACATTAAAACCCACACAGTCGTGATTCAAAGGAATATGAAAATTCAAAAGAATTTGAAATGAAGCTTTTTTAGAACGTAAGAACTTAGTTTTACTCGAGTAACTCTAGTTTTTTTTGAGTATTCAACAAAAACTTCAAACATTGAAAAATTTAAAAATTTAATCAATTTTTGTTTTTCTAAACATTTTTCTACATATCTTTTTTTTTGCAAATCGCTTATTTTACCATGACTGTCGAATATGCTTAATCTCTAGTTTTTTTGTTCAGTTCTCCTTTTATCACACAACGCCGAGAGAAACGACAATAATTTGATAAGAAAAACTTGTTTTTTAAAAGTTTATGATTGGAAAATTCTGTGCTACTTTCACAGTAACCGGAAATCGTTGTTGTAAGTTTATATTTATAAACTGTTGAATTTTCGTTGAACTCGATCTATATTTCGAGCCGATGAGTTTTGAACATGGCTCTTCCAGATAGACAGTTTTTAACACTTGAATCAAAATCATGCCCAATGTGCATTGAGCATCTCGGACTAAAATTATGCGTAAACTGTTTTACATGTTTACTGCATTTTGATGTTCTCTCGAGTGAATAAAAAATGACACAAAGATAAATTATGTTTTGAACTCAATAATTAAATATAGGTTTTAATACAAAAAGACAAGACTGCTCGTATCAGGTATCAGCTCGTTTTGCTTCTTCAATGACAGCAAAATTCCAAGAATAAGTTTCGTCATATGAAATTTTTAGAGAGCTATATTTTTAGCAATACAAATACTTGCGCCAGAAAAACAGCATGACTGCTCGTATTGGGCAAAGATCTGAATGTGTTTCGACTGCCTTTCATGCAACGATATCCCTACAAAATAAACTGAATTTCCAGATCAACTTACAAAATCCCCCCATATCGAGTTAGGGGAGAAAAAATGGATTTTTCAAGAAATAACTTAACGAGTAGCCTAGATTTATACCAATCAATAATCTAAAAATACCCTGAACTTAAACAAAGTTACGTATTATAGGAGGAAATTGATTGAAAGACTTGAATGTTCCGACCGCCATTTTAGATCTATGGAGCAGTAATAACTTGAAAAAATTGAATGTAATAAAATAAAATGAAAAAAATATATATATCGAGGTTTTTGTGAAAATCATCCCCCACTCGCCATATAAAACACAAAGTGATAAGTTTCGCTCCTTCAACCAATTTGGAACAATTTTCAAGACGGATTAAATATCCGTCTACGCATTAATAGCGCGAAATGTATCACGCGTTAATTGTCCCAAATTGGCCAAAATGGCAATCTTCAAAACCCCATAACTTTACGAAAAACGATCATAGCTTAAACATCTTTTGAAGTTTAAGCTTAGGACAACGATACTTTCTAGATGATTTGTAAAAAATCAGTCAAAATGGCTAGTTAAAAAGTCTGAAGAAAAAGAATTCACCCTGAGCACAAATATTTCGTTTTTTTTCGTTATGATCGTTCGTTCGGAACAATAAGCAATTGTTTTGTAAGTTTTGTAGAACTTATTTTCGCAAAAGATTTCGATCAAGTTAACATCCTCATCCTAACTAGACCAAGTTAAGATCTTCTTCTCCAGTAATTAATTTGGAACAAAATCGCTCAGTGCTACGTTTTGAGTGCTCGATTCTGATTGATTGAAACGTTACTTTGAAAACCAAATTAAATTCTTTCCTCTTAACTCTTTATGGGGAAAATTTTAACTAAATCCATAGCATTTCCTTTCGTTAGCATATTTTCAACTAATCATTTTCATTAATATGTCGAAAAACCTACAACAGCTTCCCCTGAGTTATAAATACCGACCCAAAAAGTGACCATAATCAGCAGAAAAAAATTGGGTCCGACAGAAGTAAGTTCAAAAGCGATCGGCGAATTTTGAGCAATTTTGCATGCAAACTTGAAATTTTAGGTGAACTTAACTCATGTTTTCTGTCTGAAAAATTAGCTTTTGCATGCAAAATTTTTATTGAAATAACTCTATTGCTCTTTTTAATTAATTCTGTCTATTTCAACGGTTTGCAACCCTCTATATAGAGAGTTGCAAAAAATTGGAAAAAACAGAATTAATAAAAAGAGCAATAGAGTTATTTCAAAAAAAAATTTGCATGCAAAAGCTAATTTTTCAGACAGAAAACATGATTTCAGTTCACCTAAAATTTCAAGTTTGCATGCAAAATTGCTCAAAATTCGCAGATCTCTTTTTTAAATTATTTCTGTTTTTTCCAACTTTTTGCTGCTACCAACAAACTGAAAAAATGTTTTTCTCTTTAGCAAAACTATATTAAATTGCAAATTTGGAACAGACAAAATTAATGAAACAGAGCAATCGGCCAGTTTTCAGCATTTTTCTATGAAAGTTTGAAGTTATAAGTGACCTTGAGACATCATATCTGTCTGAAAAATTAACTTCTGCATGAAAAATTGTCTCAAATAGGTCATTTTTCCTTTTTAATTAATTTTGTCTGTTCCAATTTTTCGCAACTCTTCTATAATATCTTACTGACCCTACTGTTGACTAAATTATTCGCCTCTTTCTGCATTCTGAGCATTCTCTGAGGTTTAGACAGCATCTGGAACTCCAGTTGGTCTACTGGAACAGGAGACGGAGCAAGGGCCAAAGATTTCTTCCTGAAACTTCAACGATCTACGAGTAATTGCATTGTATCATGGCTGTAATTTATGACTGTAATGTATCATGTATCATGTTACAGCTGTAAATGTAATTTATGGCTGTAATGTATCATGGCTGTAATCTGGGACGTGGCTCTTAAAAATATATGCCATCTTCTATAATAATGGTTGACAACAACTTGGTTTTGGTCGGCTTTCAGTTTCAGTTTAATGAACAATTTTAACTCCATTGTCTGCCTTTTTTAACATCTTTTGAAGATTCATAAGTTGAATTATGCGTTTAAGCATATTATTTATTTACCTCGAAAGCTCAGAAAAGAATACACGTTGGCTTGTGTTATCAAAAACAAGGAAACTATTTTAGGGGATAGCTTTTTGGAGACATTTTACGGGTGCAGTAGGTACTTTTAATTAAAAAAGCGTTTGTGACATTTACCCATATAGGTGAAGTTTTAATTTTACTTAACCTATATAACGAAAATGTTACATTCTTGATTGTATTTTTGCACATTTTCACTATAAACATTGTTCAAATGCCTCTAATTTCTTTTTTCCGTCTCTATTATCAACTTGTTTTCGTTTTCCATCACAGAAATAATAATAAAAAAAACAGTATAACTTCCTTCATTCTCTGTCTAATACAGTGCTGATTTAAATTATCCGGACAAAACGAACAAAACTTGAATTTTCAAACGCGTTTTTCTCAAATTGGGTTAGGATTAGACAAAAAATGAAGAGAACAAAAGTTGCTTAGAATTTCATCAAAATTAATATGGTGCTATTTTTTCTCCGAAATTCTCAACCAAAATTTACACTGAATTCTCAATCAAGAATTACACTGAAACTACTTTGTTAATTGATGAAAAAAGTACATCACAAGAAGCCTACTACATAGCTCAACAAAGTTTAAGAAGGGTTAAATCTCCAAAATTTTGCGCAAATTGTTTAAAATTTGTTTTTAAACAGAGATTCTGGGTTTTATATAGTAAAAATCACATTTATTGACTATCAAGTAAATTTTTTTTTCTCGTATACTGGTTTTTGGAGATTTAACCCTTCTTAAACTTTGTTGGGCTATGTAGGAGGCTTCTTGTGATGTAATTTTTTTATCAATTAACAAAGTAGTTTCAGTGCAATTCTTGATAATTGAAAAAAGCCAAAATGACCCATTTTTGGTTTAAAATTTTGGTTGAGAATTTCGGAGAAAAAATAGCACCATATTAATTTTGATGAAATTCTAAGCAACTTTTGTTCTCTTCACTTTTTTCTAATCTTAACCCAATTTGAGAAAAACGCGTTTGAAAATTGAAGTTTTGTCCGGATAATTTAAATCAGCACTGTAATTGCATGATGTCACATTTCCTTACACTTTAGCAGACTGTGCTCGCTTCGCTCTTCGATTCCCAGCTTCCCCTCCTCCATCCACACCATCTGTCCCTCCCACTCCTGTCAACCCCTTTCGTCCCACCATTGCTGATGCGACTCTGATTGCGTGCATCTTATCTTTCTCCTTGGACATTTCATTCTTGAGTTCACTGTGTTGCTTCCAGAACTGAAGTGTGTTCAGCCGGTGTTGCTCGTCCATCTGTTTGAGAAGGACGTTGGATTTGTTCTGTTCTAGAAAATGAAGAAAAAAATTATGATTTGTGTGCCTGCGATAGTTTTTATAATTTTTGTTCAATGTATTTTTATGAGTAGCTGTTTGCTAATGTTTTATCAATTACTCAAACAGGAGTTTCTCATCTAGTTATAAAAAAATAAGAGATGACTTAACGGATGAGGAAATAAGAGACTTGTGAAGTCTTTTTTTTTTGTGGTGGATTGTAAGTTCTAAAGAAATGCTCTAAAAATTGTCATTTTTGTTCTTTTTTCTAAATTTTCCGTTTTCATGGCTGATTTTTAAAGGTCATATTGAGATGTCGCCGTACCATTACAGATAATGAAAAAACCCCATTCAAAAGATTTTCTATTTTGAGACTGCTTCTTTCCAAAGGACCTAATCAGATATGTCTGAAAACATCTCGCAAGCATCTATCAGGCTGGCTTCTTAAAAGATGATTTTTTATTGTGAATGTGAAATGTTTCGATAAATGTGAAACAATTTATTATCGTTATTAGTTTCTGACTAACCCTTTTTGTTTTTGGACTGTATCGTCTGATCTGTTTTGACTTTTTGTCGAATGATGTGCTCGTAAGGACGCACTTTGTTGCTGGGCTGACTGCTTGTCGGCATAGTTACCTCTTTTCACTCAATAACTAATCAATTATGCGAAATAAACCAATTCTGTGATAAAAATAAATAATTGGAATCCAGTTTTTGTATTAAATTTTCTTAAGTTTTTAGAAAACTTTTAAATAAGAAACATTCGAAAAACTCCAAAGTAACAATGGGTAAAAAGATGGAGTTAAATTTTCGTCAAATAGCTAATTTGCGTATATTTTATTCAAGAGCCTTTAATGATCGAATGAGCATTTTAGCAGTGTTGTAATAAAACTGAATAGATCATCGTCATTAATCAGTTTTATAGTAAACAAAGCCTTTGGTCGCACGAGCACTGATAATTAATACAAAAGCTACTGAAGAACTTTGATTACATGTATGCTGTTTAAAATGTTATCGTCTGGTTTTTTTCTTGTAGCATTGAAGAAAGTTGAGTTAAGAAAACAAAATAATGACTGAAAAAAAAAGTAAAATATATCTTAATTCGGGTTTTATCAATATCACATTGATTCACCTCAGTTTTCCCTCGTCACATGGCAGCTTCAAAAACTTCAAAATTTTTTATGGATCTAATTTTTTTATTACTATGAAATATCAATTAAAAGTATTTTAACCGCTGCTTTCATAGATGAGCTTTTTGTAGATGATATAAAAAACCTAATTTAGTATTTTATAAGACTATATAAAGCTTCAACATTCCTCCTTTCATGAAACTTCTTTGTAGGCTGCGAAACTCTGGTTGTAGATATCCGCAAACGACTTACAAATCGAAACGTCTCAAACATCGCGAGGAAAATTAGAGAGCCACAACTGCCCACATGGCGAAAATGAATGTTTCTTTTTTGCTATGAGAGTAACCTTCATCTGATCAACTGCTTTCGTCGCCAAACAGCCACAGATCAAAACAATTTTTTTTGAGACTGCGTTTTAGATATTCCTTTATCACTTTTTCGCATTTAATGAAGAGAGCTTTGTATTTGCAGTTTTTGTTAGAAGAGATCAATTATTAGCTAATTTTTATTTTCAGAATTGAGCGCTTTTCACGCAAACAACTGGACCCTTGAATATCCAAAACTCTTCATACATGATTTCGAGGATTACCAACTTGAAAAAATTTTTCAAAGTAATTCGAAACTAGCAAGCCCGTCTCCAATAATTGATCGGTTCACCAAAAATTATTTGTTGTTATCAAGCTATTCAAGCAATGAAACTTATAACAATCTCAAGTAAAACCATCGGTGTGTAAAGTCTTGTGTTTTAAAGAACGAATCAGTCCGGGAAAAAGGCAGTTTGTCTACACAAGCTGGTTCCAGCAACAAAACTTCGAAATATGATAAGTTAATTCATGGAGCGAATCAGTTGTTTCATAGAGCGAATCAGTTGGTAAAAAGTTATTCAAGTTATGAAACTTCGAAAATTTTCAAGCAATTTCACGCACTCAATCGGTTTACAAAAACATAAATTTTTTCGGCGAGATAATCAAATTATGAATCTTTGAAATTGCTACTTGCAAAAAAAAATCAGAAAGCAGCTAAGTCGGCAAAAAATCGAAAAAAAAAATCGAACCTCGATCTATCAAAATGGATCTTTCACAAGGAATCAGGCTAGCTTTGAAACAAAAACATGCCAGTACAAAAAATGTGTAAAAATTGCATCGGAAGAAAACTTACCACGCTGTAACAAAGCCAAAAAATTTTAGCATAAATCCTATTCTCAAAATGCACACACACAAAAATTTTTTGGCTTGCTAAACGAGACAGTTTGAGGCCACAAAGCCAATTTAATACAGGTCAAAACCTATCAAGCCGAAAAAAAAATTCAAAAACTATTGAAGACCAAATATATTTAAAATAAACACACGCTCAAACAAAACTTGATTATCGCTGGTCGAAAAACGCAATATGAGGCCATTTTCCATTTATAGTCCGAACCTCATTTTCCAATAATAGTCCGACATATGATCTTTAATTTTGCTACATTTTCCAACCTCATTTAGATTATCAACGCTCTAGGCTAAATTTTGTTAAACAAAAATCATGTGATTAAAAATATCAAAGGCGAGAAATAGTTTTTGGTGTACAAACATTAGATTTTATTATTCCTCATAGCTGGTTTTCAGGCCAACATCAAAATCAAAAGTCCCTTGAAAAGCATATGTTAAAATCCTATATACACTATTGTTTTTTGGTAGGCTAGAAAATCTGAAAAAAATTGTATTTAATCTTCATAAAACGTGTATACAAAACAGGTAATTGTCTAGTAAAATACGACTTCAAAGGGTTCCGCAGAAGCAGAAAAAAAAGTTATCGACGTACGAATCGTTCATCTACCAAAATTTCATTTTTAATCCGAAATCTGAACGTACATTTTGCTTGCTAAATTTTTTTAAATTTCATATTTTTTTATCGTTCATCTGGGCTAAACTTGTTGAGCAGTAACCATCTGACTAAATTATAAAATAAAAAAATTATTTTTAGTTCAGAAAATTTAGATAATGGTAATCCTCATAGCTTGTTTGCAGGCCAAAGATCAAAACGAAAGGTCAACGGAAGAGCATACAGTGAGGTCGTTTTTCCACTATTTCTCTTTGTTTGATAGTCTAGGATATCTGAATAAAAATTGTATATAAAATGTATAACATGGGTATGAAAAATATTTTAAAAAGAAGATATTTTTTTCTGAAGTTGTTGGTTGCCACGTGAGCCTGTTTTTGCCTAGCTGGCTACAAATTCTACGACAGCAAGTGTTAAAACACAAATCACTTGGCTAATGAAACTTTTTTGCCGCTAAGTTTTTTTGATACAGAAATGGTTGCCTTATTTATTTTTGTTCGGTAGTACAAAATTGGCGTGAAGCAAATAGCTAGAAATGTACCTATAATTAATATAATTTGCTAGGATTTTATAATAATTGTCAATAATTATTTGAGACACGTGCAGTATTAGAAAAATATTCTGAGAAATAATGAAGAAAATGGCTTTTCACAGGGCTAAAAATAATTGATAACAACAGCTTCAAAAAATTCAACTTGTTGTTTAAGTTTCGTTCCAATTGCTGTTGTCAAAAACTTGCCACAGTAGGAAAAACAAAACTCCTAAAATCAACTTCAATGGAAAATAATTCAAAAAAAATCAATTCCTTAGAGATTTTTTTAATTTTTAACTTAATCTTTTAAGTTGCTTTGGGCATAAATCAGACAATATTGTCAATTTGACCTCACAGTGAAAAAAATGACGCTTGAAAAGCAGTTGTCGACAATCAGGTGAAATGCAAATTTTATTGACTGAAATTATGATGTTTGGACATCTTTTTCTGAAGTTATTGGTTGCCAGGTAAATCTATTTTTGCGTAGCTGACTACAAATTCCACGACAGCAAATGTTAAAACACAAATCACTTGGCTAATGAAACTTTTTTCCCGCTAAGTTTCTTTGATACAGAAATAGCTGCCTTATTTACTTTTGTTCGGTAGTACAAAATTGGCGTGAAGCAAATAGCTAGAAATGTACCCATACTAAATATAATTTGCTTCAAGAACTATCGACTAATATGCAATGCTATATTTAAAGAACATATAACTTCAGTTGCTAGCCTTACCTTCGTTTCTTAGGAAATGCTATAAATTGAAATGAGAAGCCAGGGCTGTTAAAAAACAAACCGAGGGCAGTTTAAGCTTCTAGTGATCTGGTATTTTTTTGATTGTTTCTATTCATGTTGATGGAGGCTGACCAAAAATTGTTTTGATTACAGTCCAATTTTTAAGGGTTAGTAGAAGTCAAAGAAAAGTGTCGACGTATGGAATCGTTTATTAACCTAATTTTCCTTTTATAGTCCGACATATGAACGTACATTTTGCTACTATAGGTACACTTACTATGATCTGTTTATTTGATCTCTTTTGTGTTTTTTTTTCAGTCTTCCTACAGTTTGATAGACCCCAATTAGTTTCGCCATGTAGATTTAGAGAAACTTTGATCTTGAGCTTGATTTAATAGTTAATGAGGCCTTGGTTTGTCGTAAAATCATGGAACAACTAAGATGGAAGTGTTGAAATTTTTTTTGGTTTTTTTTATTTGCGGATTTTATAATAGTTGTCAATAATTATTTGAGACAAGTGCACTATGAGAAAAAAATTCTGAGAAATAATGAAGAAAATGGCTTTTCACAGGGTTAAAATCAATTGATAACAACAGCTTCAAAAAAATCAACTTGTTGGTTAAGTTTCGTTCCAATTGCTGTTATCAAAAACTTGCCACAGAAGGAAAAACATAACTCCTAAAATCAATTTCAATGGAAAATAATTTTAAAAAAAAATCAGTTTCCAGGAGTTTTTTTTTAATATTAACTCAATCTGTTTAGGTGCCTTGGGCGTAACTCAGACAACATTGTCAAGTTTGACCTTACAGTGAAGGGAAATGACGTTTCAAAAGCAGTTGTCTACAATCAGGTGAAATTCAATTTTTAGTGACTGAAATTATGATATCTAGACATCTTTTTCTGAAGTTTTTGGTTGCAGGTGCGCCTATTTTTGCGTAGCTGGCTACAAATTCCACAATAGCAATTGTTAAAACACAAATCATTTGGCTAATGAAACTCTTTTCCCGCTAAGTTTTTTTGATACAGAAATAGTAACCTTATTTACTTTTGTTCGGTAGTACAAAATTGGCGTGAAGCAAATAGCTAGAAACATACCCATACTAAATATATATAATTTGCTTCAAGAGGTATCGATTAATATGCAATGCTATATTTAAAGACCATAAAACTTCAGTCGCTAGCCTTACCTTCGTTTCTTAAGAAACCCTATAAATTGAAATGAGAAGCCAGGGCTGTTGAAAAATAAACCGAGGGCAGTTTAAGCTTCTAGGGATCTGGTATTTTTTTGATTGTTTCCATTCATGTTGATGGAGGCTGACCAAAATTTGTCTTGATTACAGTCCGATTTTTAAGTCCGTAGAAGTCAAAAAAAGTTGTCGACGTATGGACTTGTTAATTTAACTAATTTTCCTTTTATAGTCCGACATATGAAAGTACATTTTGCTACTATAGGTACACTTACTATGATCTGTTTATTTGATCTCTTTTGTGTTTTTCTTTCAGTCTTCCTACAGTTTGATAGACCTCATTTAGTTTCGCCATGTAGATTTAGAGAAATTTTGGTACTGAGCGTGATTTAAAAATCAAGGAGGCCTTGGTTTGTCGTAAGATCATGGGACAACTCAGATGGAAGTGTTGACTTTTTTTGGTTATTTATATTTGCCGAATTTATAATAATTGTCAATAATTATTTGAGACAAGTGCAGTATGAGAAAAATATTCTGAGAACTAATTAAGAAAATGACTATTCATAGGGCTAAAAATAATCGAGAACAACAGCTTCAAAAAACAAATCAACTTGTTGTTTAAGTTTC